CGCAGAAAATTCACACCAACATGATTCGTTTGCGTTTACACGCCTCACAGTTTCGAGTTCGAGGCGAAGTAAAATTTCAGATTTTTCACGACGAATTAAGCAACAATTATTCTTTCCTCGTTAGATCGATGATTTTTAAGGAAAATATAGAGATAATATCGCAGACCTATTTCGTGCGTCTAATTTTCTCGCAACGTTATTCCTTCGTTTAAATTCGAACTTTGAATATGTTAAAGCATATTTCGTCTTTTTTTTTCGCGCCTCTTCGGAACGTTTACTGAATTTATCGTAAGCATACGTTGGTACGACTGAGTAATTGAACTAACCTACAAAAAAGTAGCTCTTTCGAGTATTTTCTTTTGCTAAATATACAGAGTTAACACTATATTAAAAATTCTCAAGTACTTGAACTTGAAAATGAATTCGAATATTCGATCTTATAATATGATCGTTACGATGTATTCACGTATGCCTAGCATACACGCATATAGCTTAGGAATGTACGACGCCATACACTGGCTGGTTTTATCTACGGGGCTCCAACTGGCTCGAGCAGGCCTTCGTGTGTGTTCGTTCTTTGGCTGACTAGATAGCTCGTGTAGCAAACATTACCTCATCGTCAGGCATAGCCGGATCCACCACAAACCTTCTCTACTTTTGATTCTTCTCTCGTATCCTCTGTGCTCGCTATTCGTTGTAACAAACCAAGCGGAATTGAACTCGCTTAAAATAAATCTATTTTATTGGTAAATTTTCATTTAAGAGAATATTTGTTTGCCAATTGTTATGCAAACAACGGACGACATATTCAAATTACTACTTTTATATTGAAATTAATTTCACTAATTAAACAAGTTCAAAGAATCTTTCTACTTTTTATTTATATCAATAGTTTTTTTTCTAGGTTAAGTATTGTTTTTCTCGATTTTTCGTAGAGTGACGTATAAGCTGACTTTATTAATCTTCTCGTGCGTATGCTGCAGTCTGTCTAGATAGGCTTCACGCGGTGAACATTATCTTATTGCGAGCACAGTCGTCATGAATCTTTTCTAGTTCTAGTACTTCTCTCACGTTTATTCCATTGACCTACATTCTTGACGATAAAGCAGGAATTGGGGCAAATTTGTTTATAGAAACTTTGTCATCAAACTTTCTGCACAATTTGTCACTGTTATAATGTTTTCAACGATATTAATTTCCAAATATAGTACCTTTATTTTTTAAATTTCCTTTGTTTTCTTACGTTAAGTACAACTGAACAAATTTAATAATATTCTTTTCATGCTTAATAACGTAATTTTTTAATAGGAATATTATAACGGTTGCGATGTTCATTAGGAAATGTACGCCTATTTTGGACGCACTTTTATCTTATTAACCTCGAAATAAATCCTCTGTTAAGTTGACTATAGAATTCTCCGCTAGATGGCATTCTCGTCAAAATAAATATGGTAAAACATCGCATCACTTGATAAAAATAAAAAAATGGTCTAAGATATAAAAAATAAATTAATTAATGACAAAGTCTACACACTATCGCAGACACTTTTTTTTTCAACATAATTATAATATAGAATTTCGTTGGAAGTTAGTATGTTCCTGCAATTTTTAACAATAACTTTCAAATGCTCCCAAAGAAAGGAAAAATATTTTTACTTTAAACATTTTATTTTACAACTAGAAAGCTGTTTCAATTTCGACGATTAAGGCACTTCAAACGGTTACAAAATGTCCGAAGAGAATAAAACAAACGAAAACAACTTCTCGCTACTTCACTCTAGAATCGATTCCACGATTTCCTAAGTCAGGTGAGCTTCAAAAGATTCCCCGGGTGAAAGAGTGAGCCGCGCAAACCACAACCCTCGAAGATTTCGCGAGAAGAAAGAAGAGTGGGATGGGCATGCTTCTTGACTTTGATTTATGGGCAGTTAAGAGCCGTGCATTTCTGCCACACACAGCTAATCCGTTACGCGGTAACCCCCCGCAGCAACCACCCGGTGGCCGTCTCGATTCAACAAGTGTTCGGGCCATGTTTCGCAAACATTGCTCTTAAGGACGCCAGTTGAATTCTCCAGCGCGTTCACTGAAGTCTTAATCTTGCATACCTCGATAGGCACAGGCGTTAGTCATTTTTTAATACTCGAGTTATGGAGATAGAATCTGTTAGGCGTCTTGAATGACTCAGTTGGTAAAGTAGAAATTGATTAGAAAAAAATTCAGATTCGATTTCCATAGCATTTTCTTTTTTTTACTGTTTTTCTATCGTTAAAACAAATTATCGAATAGTTCAACGTGTAGGAAAACGAAGGTGACGTAAATAAAATAAATATCGTAAACGAAGTATTGTATCGGATTACTAGCGTGACAAATAAGGGCATGTATCGGGAAAGCATTGATCGACAAGACGAGAAGTACTTTCCTGAGAAAACCGCGTTTTCACCGTGATTGAAGGCGAAATCAAGCTTGCGAATACGATCCGTCATTGTTTTCCCTGCGATTCTACGAATCGTCTCTCGAAGAGCTGCGGGACTGGTCGGCCCTGTTGGAAGGAGAACCTTCGCGAGCGAGTCGTATTCCAAGTAGGCCGCCGCGGCGGATGTACACTGTCGAGTCGAGATTGAGTCGTTGGCTGGCTGTTGCTGCTACCGTCGTAGCAACTAGTTACTGCTAGAAATCTACAAATCGTTTCGAAGAAAGCGCGTACATTTTTTTCTTAATAAAAACAAAAAAGAACAACCTAGTTTTGTATATTGATGATATTTTTAATTGAAAAGATTCGACGTTCTGTGTTCTAAAAAAACTTTAATGTTTCTTTGGTACTGTTCGTTTGAAGTTTGTTCAAACAAAGTGGCAAATCGCCTCGCATGTTTTGCCACACGGCCGGGTATCATGGGCGCGCAGTATCGTCTCTGATGGCATTGCTCGTTTCCTCGGAACTTTTTTCCCCTCCTTTTCTCACCGTTGTTCTTCTTGCCAGTTGCACACGCGGCTCTTCGTATTGGTCGAACAACGTAACACATCGATTATCTGTTAAATGACGTTAACGCCACCGTGCATCCCCTACCCGTAGCTCTTTACAACTTCCATTCCCTCCATTTCTGCTTTTGCTTCATTTTAGTATTTTTTTTCTTTTTCCTTTTTTTTTTTTTTCGTGAAATCAAATGTCATGTGCAGACCACGTGGATCCGACAAAACGACGAACGTGTCGCTAGTGACATCCCACGGCAATTCGCTCAACTAACTGCGCTGTCAGTGGTTCTCAACAAAGTCCGTGTGATTTTTGCTTTTCGATTTTTTTTTTTCGTTTTACCAATAAACGATTTCATTTTTATGAAATTGTCTAATTTACTGATCGTAAATAACGAACGACGTCTATATGACGTTCCTTCTGATTCGAAACTTATAAATAACTTCTTATTCTGCAGTTTTCTAGATAACATATTACTTTTACATATGTAGAAAAGTATCATTATGTTCTTCAAAGTTTAATCTATACTATATCAATTTTCTGCTTCAAATTAATTTGCAAATTAACATTGCAATAACTCATGGAATATCGCCTGTTAGTTGAAGCTGTCGTGGTTTCACGACTAGCCAACCACACATCCATCACAAATAAGTTTATTGAAACAAAATCTCGGACTTCTTGGACCTAACCTTGAACTGGTGCATAAGACAGATTATACGTCATTTGTTTAGGATGCATGGCTTCTCTCGTCGAATCTGAATTCTATAGATCGATCCTCATTTTTAACCATTGACTGTCGCGTTATTTAATTGCAATTCCTGCCGTTTTGGTAGCGGTGTAACATTATTCTGTTCCGAATCGATAATGTCGCACGTGACACCAGGATGGTAACGAGGGCTACGTAGCCCCCGGAACGTGTGACATAAATTTACATTGGGTGATAGGACCATCTTATACTTCGTCTTTGATTTTACATTCTTTTTCTTTGCTTCTTTGCCAGCTTGCTCGAGCAAGCACAAGTTGGAGGGAGGGACGATTATTTACTTACTTTCACTCGCACGGTCGTTGAATCGGACTGGCACGGACGTAAATCATTGATGTGTCCTCCACGTGCTTTATCATTTGTTTGAGGTTTCTTCGAATGGATCGATTACGTTTCATGATTGGCATCACTATTCGTCACGTGAAATAATACCCGTATCTAAACTTTACACATTATGTTAATATTTAAAAGGTGGACAGAATATATATATGTAAATTCTTTTGTTTCGTAATTGAGCCGTTAGTATATAATACGTTGGAAAGCCTTTGTGCTTACTAATTCCTGGAAATATTACCAGACAATATTTTAATTTAAAATAATAGTATTTTTCTAAATTCTCTTGTTGTGTCTTTAAACGAATATAAGGGGAAGAAGAAAAGGGAAAACAAAGACCGAGGGAAAGATAAAATGGAGAGGAGTATTTCACAAGGGGCCCGCATGCTTGCTGATTGAACCCATGAGTAACAACACTCCTCTGTCCCCCTTGCCATTTGTGCCCCCTCCTCGTCCATGCCCACTCGATCATCCATTCCAACGATGACTTCTTCCAGGCCAGGGTAGGGAGATGCCTGACGTCATTCCCCAACGTCTGTCAGCGAGCCGACCCTCTGAGTCACGTCGTTTTGCCTACTCTCCAGCTTGTAGCAAAGTATCGAGACTGAGCAAGGTCTTTCGTGATCATGTCGCAAAATCGTCATTCGGAAAAGATCCCTAGCTTATCATCTGAATTTTTTCTTATTCACATCAATTTCCTACTTTCACTTCTATATCCTATGTGATAAAAATTAAATTCGAAAACAATAGGTATAACGTCATTCTTTCTAATTGTTCGTATAATTTTACGGTGCATTAATCTATTTTTAAAAATATTGAAATGGCAGTACGATATAGAAATACGAAATAAATTATATTTATTACTATTAGTATAAAATACAAAGTATAAATTTGTAAAATTCAAGAACTAACGTATCACGTTTTAATCATTTGCAGAGTTGTGCAATGATGGGTCTGCAGGCCACGGCAGGAAAACGTAAACTGGAGGGAGGTGTGGGCTGCATGGAATTCGACATGGATATGGGCGAAAGCCCATCGAAGTTAGGCCGGGTGGAGGGTAGCTGGTGGGCGATGGAGGATAGTTACACCCCCCCGTTGAGCCAAACACCGTCGTCTTATTACGATATGGAAGTGAGTTCTCCCTGCCTGCAGACAAATCCTTGTCAGCCGACATCGGCAAGTCCTCAACAACAACAACAGCAGCAGCAGCAGCAGCAGCAGCAACAACAACATCAAACGGCGCAGCAGCAGCAACAGCAGCAACAACAGTCGTCGACGACGACGTCAGCGCCACCACCATCTACGGTGGCGCATCTGCATCATCATCCGCAGCACTACTACCATCATCAACGCGGCCCTAGCAGTCCAGTCGGTAACAACGGTTACAGCCAACTGTCGAGGCCTCAGCCGCAGTGGGGAACGCCTCATCATTACGAGCCGCCAACGATACGGCGAGAAGAAAATGGAAAGAGTTATTTGGAGCTTGGTTCGAGTTACCGAGCGAACGAGAGGTGCTGCGAGGGTTCGAGGTCGAGCTGGTGTCGGCGTGGCAGAGCGTGCTACAGACAAAGGCGACTGGCCGTTTTAAACATTTCTATGTGCAAGTTAGCGAGGTACCGCCAGTTTCCGGATCCGAGCCTTCATCGATCGGTTCTCATCTGCAATACACTAAGGCATCTGGAACGTGAGATGGAGAGGGACAGAAGTCCACCGCCCATGGAGCCGGTTATACCGGCACCGATTGCTCAACTTCAACCTCCTGAGCAGGGTAGGTTAACACCGTTCCCAATGCCTCCAACGTCTTCGAACGAAACCGATGCTGACTCCGGCATTGGCGATAGCGATGATAGCCGCTCGATCAACTGGGGTAGCGTACTATCTCTATCGAGTCAGTCGCCTCTAGATCCATTGAACAACAACGAGTTACTGGACGTCGATATCGGTCCAGACCTAGACTTAGACTTCATGCCTGGATGGAAGCTGACACCCCTGTCCGCGGACGATATCCTTAGGAGTACGACGGCGCAGGAACAGCAACATCAGCAGCACCAACAGCATCATCATCAGCAACAACAGCAGCAACACCTGGCGCCAGCTAGCGGTAGTTGCGCCAGTAGCAACGTGGGCAGTGCCTGCGTCAGTACTGGCAGTAGCAGTAGTACGCACGAGTCGTTAATGTGCGTTGGATCATAGCCCCCGATTTTGACATCGTTGAGTCACCTCATCGATTTTTACCCGTTGATGCCGCAGAGCAAATAAATGCGCGGCACCCATAAAGAACAGCAAGTCGAGATGCAGAGACGACGTAGTCGCCCGCTCTCGAATATGTGTGCGACGCCTGGTCAGCGACTCTCCAGGAGGTCTTCTTTTTCTTATTTATTACCGTTCGTGTCAATTACGCACCGATCGATTATCTCGGTTACGTTCTACTTTTACCACAACCGATAACTAGCATGGGTCTGCTCCCTGTGGGAGAGAGGGACCCGTCGTGGTACGCTGTGTTCGTAGGTGCAGCAGGTGCAAGATTCATGGCGCATTGGAAATGATGTTTAGAATTCGAGGCAAGAGAGGTGATTAGAATTTGCACACCAACGAGTACCTCAGCTCACGTTATTTTTAAGAGAAATACTTTCTAACATATATATGTTAATATAACATATTACAAATTTACCATATTTCATTCGATACGATTATTTTTCAATTATCTATCACAGATTTACTTTCGAGTTATTTTAGAACTGTTTGTTCAGTGTATATGTATACTTTTTTACGATATACGTAAACAAATTTTGAGAAAATTTTGAGAATCTTCATTTAACGCTCAACGTGAGAATGGGTACTTCTACGGATCATCAACGACAACACCTCAAAACGATCACAGCCATACTATATCGAAACGATCTGTTTTTGCAGCTGCACCTGCGGATTCAGCGGCACACGTTTGAGTTCCCGAATCGCTCGAAATGTCGCCACCGGCACGTGAGACAGAGAGAGCGATAAAGAGAAACAGAGTGCGAGAGGAAGGGAGTGAAAGAGAGAGAGAAAGAAAGAAAGGAAGAGAGAAAGTAAAAAGGTCTCAGAGCTTTCAACGTTCACGCCCCCGGGCCGGCGATTACGGTAGACGAAGTACAGGATGTGTAGCCTTCTCTTCGACTTGTTTAAAACAATAACGACGACACGAAATCTTGACAGACTTATATACGCATACACGCGGTATATTGGACAGAAAACGCCTCCTATTCGTTCTTTGGTTTCTTTTTTTTTTGGCGTACGTGTTCTTTCTTTTTTTTTTCTTTTGTATTATTCAGTTAGCGCGGTATCGCTCGCCTAGCTGGCCGACGTTGAGAACTCTTCGGCGATGTCTCGGCGTCGCACGCGCGACAGCCAATCGAAACGGGAGTGTCCATCATCATCGATCGATGTTTTCTCCTTGAATTAGAAAAACTATACAGACGACGATTAATTAATACCATACACTTGAAATACACTAACCATACACTTATACACGAGTAAAACGTAACCGCCGTGGCCTATACCGTACACTCATGCATGCGCATACGTACACACACACACACAACATACACACAAGCACAGCAGGACATGCATCAGGACAGAAATGGTAGGTTCGTACACAGAAAAGTCGATATGGTGCTAGGACGATCACACCCTGGTGCTTAATTCTGTATACACAGAGCCATGTGCGTAAGATCGCACGGATCGCCCGCAGTCTTCGTCGAGGAGTCTAGATACGTCCTGACGTCGTGAACAGGACACGCCGTGATCGAACATATTTCCATCGTGTGGTATTCGATACGACGTGAAGTTACCCGTAGTATCAAACTCGTTCCCCGTTTCGAGGATCTTATTGGTGGTACTGTTTCGAGAGTTGGGGAAAGGTGGAGGGGGGAGGTATCACGTGATTGTGGATGGAAATACGTTGGAGGGGACGCGTTCTGTGTTCTGGCGCACGATGCTAACAAATGTACCTGCATTTTAGAGATCGGGATAATATCGGTCCCTTCGTGTCGTCGCGCGGAGGCCACTGTGCGCCACTGATCTCTCCCGTTAATAATATGTACCATATACTATTGTAAAATAAAGTGGCCGACGAGCAGAGAGAACGAAGGTGACCAATAATTCACTTGGGGTGTGGAACGGAGAGATTATTAAAAGGAAAAAAAAAAGAAAAAAAAAACAAGTAATAAAACTCGACGAGACGCACTTCGCGAAGAGGAACGGCGATCCGCGCGCGCGATCTCGTCCTCACGTCCATTAACTGAACCCAAGAGAGCAGCTATACTTAAATCGAAGTTAAGTGTTTTAAAGCGAATCTAACGAACGATAAAGCGATATAAATAATTTATAAATCGACTGATTACTTATGCGAGAGAACAAAGAAAAAAAAAGCTCTACCGGCAACATTTCGCGATATGAGTTCATTTAAACTGTAATTAATTCGGTGTTAAGCCGGCAACACACACACACACACACACGTACATGCATACACACACGCGCGTGCACTCGTACAAAGGAACATATATACACACGCGACACTTTGTATACGGAAGCATAAAGGACACACGTTTGTACATGAGATATGCTAGATACTTCTACACACACACACATACACGTACATGCATACACACACGCGCGTGCACTCGTACAAAGGAACATATATACACATGCGACACTTTGTATACGGAAGCATAAAGGACACACGTTTGTACATGAGATATGCTAGATACTTCGATGTATATAGGTACACAGTACGTGCTAAGTCTAATAATTGTTAACGTGAAAACAGTGAAACTTTCGGCGATTTTCATTTTTCGTTCTTTTCTCATTTCTCATTTCTCTTTATCGTCGATATTATTAATTTCAAATTCTCCGGTTCAATTTCATCTACGCATCATCGTCTTTCTTCTTACATTCGATACAATATCGTTATCTTTTGATAGTTTCCTTCACGCGAACTGCCTCTCCTCGATTTCGTTGATTCCTTCTTCTCTCATTTCGTACAAAACAACGAGCAATATTACTTTAACTTAGGTGCGGAGAATCTAGGAGATGAATGTACGTGGATTGAGCTCGAGCGATTCGTGGGCTTGTAAAACATGTAACGAGAACAGCTTTCTTTCTCGATGAGTTGACTGTGTTTGATCGCACGTTGCATTCTGTACATTGCCAAGCATTTGTACTACATGTACATTGTAGCAAAATATTACATTAGTTCATTGGGTGGAGCATTGAGATACAAATTAATAGAAATTCGTTACAACGAATAATATTAAAAGGTTTAATCGGAACAATTGTACAAAAACGATGGTGCTCTGTGTTCAAGTATCAGTCATGGTGTATGCAGTTGCGAAGAGACAGGTGTTCTCATCACGTTTTTCATGAACATACGTATCGTTCGAGTTTTACGTACACAGCTCTATCTACGGCCGCGCGAAAGTGTTAAAGCATAAAACACAATCATACATAAACATTCATGCATACATACACACACATACATACACGCGCACGAACGAACGTTATATGAAATTATATATGCGCGCTCGATGCGAATGTGCGGAGCGTATTAGGGAAGGTCGGTGTTGTTTTCTTGCATGGTGTACCAACGAAAAGAGCGTGAACGTTAAAGCGCGTGGTATACACGAGGCCTATCAGCGTACGCTAGATTGTTAAAAAATTCGTCCATCGCGTTGGTGCGTCTCGTATGTGTGCCATTTCGTGCTTTACGATCGCACCGCTACCTCATTAACTTGGTGTTCCGAGTCGCAACATTGAGGTTATCTCACGTTTTTCTTCCGACAACACACGTCAATTCGTTATAGTGGTTCGAAAATGAACGGGAAAAGTGTAATGATCGGCGCGTACACACTGACTGACGTATTGAACTTCATCGATACAGTAAGAAAGGGGAATACGTAGTACGTGAACGTAGAAAAAAGAAAAAAAAAAAACAAATACTCATGTCTTCTCGATCGAGTTGGTTGTCAAACGGAATACCAAGCATTGCGTTTGGAACAGGGCATGATGGTATACACTCGCTTCTCGTGGAGAAAAGGAGCTCGTGAGGTGACAAATAATTTCGTACTTTTTACACAGACGTACCTTTGCCACGTTAAAACGCATGTTAGTACACATACACACTCTACCGACGCAGTACCTTGCGAATTTTGGCGGGAGGATGGCGGGTTTGACGAAGAAGGGGGGGGGGCGAGTTCGTCGTGGATCACGTGATGCAGCTTAGAAAATGTAACCGTGCGAGAGAACGACGAACGAGAGAGAGAGAGAGAGTTGTGTAATAATACGCGTGGCGCTTCGACATTGCATTGGCGCGCGTATTAAACGTACACATACGTATTAAACACAACGGTGTGTTAAAACGAACACTTACGGGGACTACGATTTAAACGGGGAAAAGAGAAAGAAAGAAGGAAAGAAAGAGTGATGAAGGTTAAAATGTAAATAGTATAAATAGCACACGCGCAGAAGTACGTTTAAGCGGAAAATAAAAGATGATATAATAGGTATAATGTGAAGAAAATATACATATAAGATGACTCGCGCAATCTCGTTGCCGTTCGGATGATGTCGCTGCGATTCGCGGCTGGCCCACGGAGCGATTTCCACTGAAATTCAGTTCAACCATTGTAACAACGCGCGTATCCCATATGGGGGGGATATATCGCGTCCTTTATGTAATCACGCGACA